AACATCATCAGAGCAAGTTATCATCGTTACAACAAAATTTGAGCTAACGAGTCAAGAAAACTCATCGAAAAATCCCTAAAAAGTGGTATATATACCCTACATCTGGCCTCTTTGATCATGTACGAAGTGATTTGGTTAGTTAAGGTCATGTGTCAACTTCGATGCATGTGAGTGTGTATGTGCCTGATTGTGTTCGCCCAACCTTTCTTCTCAAAGGTTGACTCAGTCCACGAGACATCCTCCCTCGTTTCGGGTGAAAACGGATTGAGCTACCTTCCATCAACTGATGGGCATCATCAAAGAAAGCATTCATTGTTGTAAAAGTGTCACGTTAACACTCGGTCAAGAAGACTATCCGGCTCTATCTTACCTCTTATAAAGACTGAGTCAAGCAAAATACAATTAATATAAATTGATATATTTTATGGACGATAGCTCATCCAGTTTTTCGCCGTAAAGAGGGAGGATGTCTCGGAATCAGCAGTTGTCTTCTGGTGAGATCGACCTACAAATCTCTCCTTCATGCACTTTCATACGAAAAGAAAGTCTCTCCACAAAGGCTGGCCCATCTCATTGCCCATGTCGGAACTAGCCTACTTTCCTATTGTTGAGCTTACTCCCATTTAAAGTGAAAGCGTTTAATGAAGAGATTCCAAGTTCGATTCCATCAGAAGACGACGGCGGATTCTTCTTGATCAGCTGTCGATTGCCTTTACTGGAAAATTCACCTTATCGCTGTTTCCAAGCTCATCTTTTTCCATTCCGGTGAAAACGTGCTAGGGTTTCGTCCGTCATATAACGAACATCATCAGTGCAATGTATCATTCTGATTAACCAAATTAACTTCCGAATTCAAGTTTTATTGACTCGTCAGCTTGAATTTTGTCTTGACGATGATACCTTGCTCTGATGATGCTCGTCAAATGACGCACGAAAGCTTAGCACCTTTTCGCCGGAATCGAAGGTGATTGCCTCGAAAACCGCGTCAGCTTGAATGCTCCACAAAAGCCAATCGACAGCTGGTCAAGAGGAATCCACCGTCGTCTTCTGGTGGAACCGTCCTTCGAATCTCTTCCCCAAACACTTTCACTCAAAGTGGAAGTAGACTCAACAATTATGGAACAAGAGAGTCCTCGAAACTCAACTTTTTTTCGCATATACTTTACAATTGCAAATAGCAAATGCCGCACTTAGCACGATATAAAAAAGCAGCCATTTGTTGAGTTCCTTACTCTTCACCATTCTCTACCTTGCTGATGGTGATATGATGTACCTTGAACGACTGAGGAAATGTATAAATCACACCGCCTAAGCACGGGCAGTCCACCACACTTTTTAATCCTCGCCTGGCAAAATAATACATCCATTTCACACAAGACTTGCTCATTTCGAGTAGATTCTGAGGGGAGGTTTCCGGCTCTTTTGACCGCGGGTTTTCAAGTAAAAATATATTTTAATGAGATGTATTCATCCTATTTCGTCTAAAGTGATGAAGGACTGGTAGTAGAATTTTCCCACAATTATATGAGTTGAGCTGACGTTTCCATTGAATTTCACATAACCTTGCTTTCCCAAAAGTTGTTCTCATCCGGGGTGGATTACAGTTTCGACCTCGCATTGGTCTTATCAACACCCTTAGCGGGATTCGAACTGCGAAAGTGCAGGACGGTAGCTTGACACACTAACCACTCAGCTACACTGCCACGAGTACCCCTGAGTCACAGGGCATAAGTGGATTTCAAGGACGGTCAGGCCTCTGCTATATCATATTCTTTTGGTGGGAGTGCCGATGAAGCAAACGTATGGCTTCTATAGCAATCGACAACGTTACTTATATTCGTATGATAGTAGGGTTTAGAGACTACCAGTAAATCAGTTTAATGAGATGTGTAGCCGAGTGGTTAGCGTGTCAAGCTACCGTCCTGCACTGTCGCGGTTCGACTCCCGCTGAGGGTGT